CTTACCCAAGTCTTTTTTTTTGGAGTAGACTGTCAATGACACTTAACCCTATTTTTTTATACTAATGGTAGTAATGCACTAAATAATTTTTATTTAATTAAGTAATGCACCAAAGAATATAGAATAATAACATGCAAAAAGAATATAATTTCCACTAACTATCACCATTTTTCTGGCTTTCTAGCTATGCGACAAGAGCCATTGCAAATTCATCCAAGCTAGTCATCATCTTTCCCGTGTACTAAAAGAGAAATTTACAATTCTCTGTTCAGAACACAATGTAATATAATACGTCTCTTGATGGATGAAAACCTTAGCTTTCTACTGGTTATAGATAATATAGAATTAAACGTAATAGAGAACTATTAACAAATCCTGAAAGAGAAGATGTGACAGGTAGGTGTAGCAAGAGGGGTCTGATTTTTTATTTGATGGCTCTGTAACCAAACAAAATTGAAAGCTATAAAAATTATGGTTTTTCTTAGCAATGACAATTTTATAGTGAGTAAGATGCATTGAATTTTGTACTAATTGGAGGGCTGGTGAATAAAATAGAGAAGATGGGATGCTTACAGAAAATTTGTCACCTTTCTCACACTAGGGGAAATTCAGGATTTTTTAAAATATTGCCTTATAAAATTAAGAACCTAAATCTTATATACTATTAAAATATGGATTATGAGCTACGATTTTATGCTATATTAATTGGTAATCTTAAACAACAAGTAGTTTAATAAAATTTTGAATGTAAGCCACTGAAACCTTCTGACATGCACAGTAAATAATGCCATGGCAGATCTCGTTAATATGCTTTCAATTATTATTGTAGGTTTTGGACCTATGCTAGTAGTTCAAAATGTCCTCCTCAACTTAACATGCAGATGCAGTCCATAAAAGTTTCCAATCCAATGCAGTCTTCTCTGTAAATATTTATGCCATCAGTTGTTAATTTCCACTATGCTCAAAGAAAATTTCTCAAGTATAAGAAATAATCAAAGCATTCTTTGTTATAAACCTACCTCTCTCAAAAACAGAATACTTCACTTGTGTATAACTCTTAAGACAATTAAAATTTTATGAAAAACTACCAATTACAGCCTCCCATAAGTTGTGATATCTGAACATTAAAAACCCTTTATAAAAGTATCCTTCCTATATATATGCAGCTTCATTCATATCAAATAAAAACATCCATTATTATTTAACTACACAGTCATGATAGGTGGTTAATCATCAAGCAACTTAACAGAAAGAATGGATAATGTAAGATTATGCAGAAATATCCTATCAAATGTTTAAACAATTTTACCTATTAGTGTTTTCATTTCTTTTAAACACAACTTGTATACCTATGCAGCAAATCTTTGTCTTTCAGCTTGTATTATATTCTATCATTTATGTTGAAAATGCTACATGCAATTTTGTAAAAGCACATCATACTTAAAAAACAAGATTTACAAAGCTCTGTGTTTTACTGCCTCTTCTTCAAAATATTTTTTATCTATTTCAACAAATATATTTTTTCTCATCTACTCAAAAAGAAAAAAGATCCTATCCTTTATTGAAATTGGCACATATCAATGACTTTATCTGATAAGTAAAAGACAGTTCAACACTGTATACACTATTTCATTTTATACAACAGACGTTGTCATAATTAAAAGTACTAAATTTGTGTAGAACATTTTTCCACAATCAACACTACTGTAAATAACCTACAAACAAATACAAAATATTTATAAATAAAAATTACTTATTAAAATGAAAATTTTCAAAATAAAACCTTCTAGAAAAACCAACAGATCTGTTACATATGAAAAAAGAAATATTAGTCAGAAATTAGCACTTTTAAGGATTTCTATGCCACAGTAATGCTACCATTTCATTTTCAAAGATAATGCACATTTTATTCAAAACTTGGTAAATCTTCTACAAATATGACATCAATCCTAATAAAGATCACACACAGACACTTACGAGTCCAATCACAGTTTAACTTAAAAATATCATACAGGAAAGACTGGAGATCTGAAACACAACACAATTATTACAACACAAATATGATTGTTTTATATTTTTCATATCACACGTAACTACACTGAATATTTAATCCCAAAAATGTTATTTTTAAAGTAGATTAGAAAAAAAAATGTAGTTTCATTAACATTTATTTAGGATGAATTTTAGTCATTTTCGAGACTAAATTAACAGTTTAAGGCTCAAATCCTCCAGCACCACATCCTACTCAGACTGCAACTAAAAGAAGATAACTTACTCTAGTTGAACAAGGTCTCCCCATTGAAACTGACCAAGAGAATCTACTCCAGTGGCCATATCTGTACACAACTGAAGATCTCTAGGAAGAACTTTCAGCTAAATAAGGATTGACAAAAATACAAACTAACATTATTTAATGGCTTTAGTAAGTATGAAACCATTGTGTAACATTAAAGTATTTTAAAACAATTTGTGCTGTAATATTACTGACTGAACACCAGTTAATGGTTGTATTATGTAAGTTACTTAAAATATGATTTACTCTAGAAAAGCACAAGTCAATATTTTACAAAAAGAACTTTTTTAAAATTTTTTTTTTATATATTCTATAGTTTGGTACTGACTATGTTGAATTAAGAGAAAAAACGTTTCTTGATAAACTCTTAAATTTAATTATGTTCTTTATGGCATGTTTGCCATATCAATTAACATGTAAAATGGAGGGAGGTGTTAAACACAAAAAAAAAACCATAGATGACAACACTCCAGCAAACCTATTAGAACTGTAAGTTCACTTTTAAATTAGAGATAAAAGTTTTAAGAAACCCACAAATACATAGGTAATGACACAGACTATTGTACTCTACCAAGTTTTGATTTTAATGGCAATAATTCCTTTCATGTACTGTAATAGCTTTGAATAAATCATGCACTATTAATAAGCTAAAACTTAGCTAAATTTATCATTACAGTGATGTGATAATATCAATGTTTTCAAAATGTATCAAAAGCATAATTGTATTTTATCTTCTTCTCTAGCAACTCTATTTGCTTCTACCCAATATTACATACAATACACAAATTATAAAAGTTGATAAATTAAAACATTTGTCCAGAAACCTGCCTCATGCATAGTGAGGTCTGAGAAGAGAACAACAAGGTTTTCTTCAACTCTAACAATCAGGCCTGTGTCTCCTTCATAGCGTCCAGCTATAACTTTCACATGGTCTCCCATTTTGAAGTATTTTCTTAATTCATGTGCTTGAAACTCTAATGGATCCTATGTAAGAGTAATATAAAACCAAAACTAATTAATCTTTAATTGACGATGACTGCTGCAGTCAGCTGAAGTTTAATTTTAAACTGTACAGTAAATTATGATGATGTCTTAATACTTTATGAAATTTTCTATACACACTCATATTTATATAAAAATTTCATAAAAACATAAAATCTAGCTTTAGGATTTAACACAGAAAAAACAGTTTGTGTTTTGAAAAATAACTACATTAATAGACAAACAAGGGTGTATTTCCTCAAATTACATTATACACTATAATAAAATCAAATATGTAAATGTAATTAAAATAATCAGTGTAAAATGGAACTTAACGTATATACTTTTTAAGAGAGTGAAAATTAGCCAGTGTAATATTTTAGGAACTGCTTTTTGTGTGATCAATATAATGAAGACTTAACATAGTATTTTTTTAAAACATACTCAAGTTAAACTTATATTGCAACAGTATTAACACATTGTTTTAAAAGTGGCAATGAAATAAAATATATCTTACATCGTACATGCTTAGATCAACCTACTATAAAAATATTCTTTTCCTTTTAAAAGTTGCTATGAAATATCTACATGTATCTTACATAATACATGCTTAAAATCAGGCCACCTAAAATAAATTTTATGTATCTTAGAATTTAAATGTATAATTTCAACAATGAAAAACTTTATCAATAATAACTAGTGTTAAAAAATAAATGCATTTACACATTATTCACCTACTGTTAAGACTTTACTGATTCTGTAACACATTGTAAATTTTCTAATGGACTTTTGGTGCATTATAAATGAAACCTAAAATACAAAAACCTCAATGCAAGATACACGTACCTTCAAATCCTCATGGCGAGGTAACATAGTAATCTTGTTGCCATCTACGCTGACAATTTTACCCTGCAAGTGAATCAATTCTCCCTCTGCCACTTCCACATTATCTCCAGGAGCAAAGTTGTGACCTTGATCCTCTTTTTTACTCTCAGCCACTGAAGCAGAAGGAGTTAAGGATCAATCATGGTACAAGCACTGCTGCAGCCACGAAAATGGTATACAATACACTAGTCATATCTCATCATTATATTCTAAACTTATCTAATAAAACATAAGATTTGGTTCCTTAATGACTAATAAAAATTTAACATATACAATGATCCAATAGAAAATAATCAACAATAAAGTTTTGTATCTTTATAACTTTAAAACTCAAGACATACAAATTCTTATGTTTCAAGTCAAATTTAAATGTTTACAACTGAATATCCAATATAACTGAAATTATATTACACTTGCTTAAAAAATAAAAGTATACAAGCTCTACTTGCCCAATAGAAGTAATATATATATATATATATATATATATAATCATCACATTAAATCTAAGACATAAAAAAGCTTTAATTATTCAGTACAACTGAAGTTATAACACATTTACTTATCATATAAAACTTATCACGGTCAACTCTGTTCAAAACTATTATGACTTTCCTCCTAGGGACCTAAGCTGTATTATGCTCAGAAGATAATCTGGAAACTCACAAAAACTAATGATTTCACTCAGAAAATGTTAAAATGAACACAAATTTAAAATTAGCAATTTTTTTTATGTATAAAATTAAATGCGTAAAATGTTTTTAATGAATAAACTTCAACTCTGAAGTTTTTTCTTTTGAAAAACCTATGTCTACAACTGGGTCAAAGCACAATTTTGCCCCTGAGATGGAATGCACTGATCTTTGTGTGATAGAGTTGAACTACACAAATATAAACTAAGTTTACTTATTAAATAAAAGAATACATTCAAGTTCCAATCCTTCTGGTTGTTCTTCAAACTTTTCCAGTTCAGAAAGTGTTGGTTTGACCCCATCAGCAATCTAGAAGATGAAAACGCTGATAAGATAATGTGTGCACTTTTAAACCCTTTTACTTTTGCTAGATTTGTTAATAGATATTAAAAGCTAGTCACCAAATAAAGGAAAACTGGCAATTGAAGTATATCTCACTGAAATATACAAAAATGTAATATTTTGACTCTCAATTCAGGGAATCAACAGAAATGGCAAATGCCTACATTTGGCCCAGAGTGGGTGCTATTGTGTACAAAAAATTAGTTTTTTCATACACAAACATGTTTATTATTAAAAAGTCATTTTAGAATTTGTGAAGATTATGATTCTATTTGAATATTTTGACCTTGTCTGAAGAAAGAGAAGAGGAGTCTATTACTGTAAAAATGCTGGAATTTCCTCAACCTTCAACATAATGTCAAATCCTCAGTGTTCACACTAGTTTTTAACAGAAAGCACTATTCATATGGTACTCCATGACATACTAAAACTATCTATGCAATACAAATTGGGAAGGGGTTGGAATACATGGGTCAAAGGTCAAGAAATCTATGTAAGCATAATGAGGCAAAACAATATAGTACTATGAATATAAGAGGTGAATTTGGACAATTTAACTAGTGTTTTGATGTTATTCTTGTTGCACGTTCCACAATGTATGGAATGAATTTCATCTAAGGATACCTTTGGTGTCAAAGAGATCACTCTGAATGACCATTTTATTATTGCATTTCTCTTCTACTTTATATATATATACACAAATTGCTAATCTAAGTCACAACCTCATAAAACAAATGCACTTTTACCCTTGTAGACATACATGTTCTAGAAAAAAAATATCCCAATCAAGTGGGAAACTGCCTCAAACAACAAGTCCTGGTGAATAAACACTGGAAGTCAAAAATAACCAAAACACAGCCTTTATAACACCCATATTAAAGCATATCAAAATGTTTTTTTTTATTTTATAAGCATAATTAATAAAACAAAAATATTAAATAAAGATAATGACTTACATGATTGACTGAGATATTCTCTAAGAACTAAAGAAGGTGACTGGATGTTGACTACAAAGCAGTGTTTAAGTTATGAAAACACAACCAGCAACTAAGTAAAGTCAGTAATTATTATAGTACTTTTAAGTAAAAAAGAAGTACATTACACTTTCATCAAAACATAATAATTTGCTCATCACATAAAAAAATGACAAGTGCTAAAAAAGTTAATACACTAATTCTAAATCTGATTACTTACAATTGCAGATGTTGCAAAAGCTTTATAAAGAAATCCTTTGCTACTGTAACGATTTCCTTCAAATATGACAAAATCTCCATCTTTCGTCACCTCACCACCAATTGCTCTAAAACAAGAAAGATAAAAATATGTTTTTTAATACAAGAATTTCTAGTTATCAAATCAAGAACAATATAAGCACTAAAGGTTTCAGTTGTTTTTCAAACCAATATAGGTGATTATTCTTCATTATTAAAACCAGTAGGTTATCATTATTTGCAACATACCTGGGAACATCAGGTTGATGGTAATACAAAAACAGTTTTACAGCTTTGACCAATACCATATGATGAAGGCAATTATTTCAATTATCTAATTCTGGAAACAAATTTGAAATTTTTTACTTTTTTTGTTGATAAAAAATCTGTTTACTTTTTTGTTAACATACCAGTCAGCATTTTCAGCTAAGTCAAAAGCAAAATAAACATGGAAATATAAATAAATACTTATTTATTAAATATCTTTTGACAGGTGCTTCAGAAAAACACTACAGAACTTAAAATCTTTATGGGTTGGGATTAAATCAATTCATTAACTGTTTTTGTTTTGAATGTGAAAAGATTCCTCAAATGTACAGGAATTTCACAAAAAAAAAATACCCAAACTACTTATAGCCCATTACATTCTGACACTAAAATTGCAAGTTCATAGTTAACTAACTTGATAGCACTGTAATCAAACAACTTAGTAGGTGGTCGCTTGTTCCTCTTTCTCTTTTCTGGTTCCTGGAAGAAAAATACTGACTAAATATAGAAACACTAAACACAAAATTAATGCAAAAACAAAAATATTATTTTTTGTTTATACTGAAATAATAAAAAGCAGCTTTATTATATGAATGAATTAATAAATGTTAAGATATTTACTTGTTAAAAATTAAATTGTACTTCTAGCTCTATTGGGACTAAAATTTCTCTGTTATAATCATATAAAAATGAATCTAATTAAAAACAAGAAAAGATTCTCACACTCAATGATGTACCTACCTAACAAAAATATGTATACAAAGACTCAAAAAGTAATGCTGTGAGTTCAAAATCATTATGAAGAACTGAATTAAAATTTTTACCTCACCCTGTGGCTTTAATCTCTATTTTATAATGAGTCTAACATTATTTAAGGACACCATAAAGGCCCTATTATATATCAATGAGTTTTCAGGAAAAGGGAGAAGGAGTTAATATAAATATGAAATTTCCTTTCAAACTTTGCATTTGCAGATTTTTTACATTTCTTACCAAGTCCAGGAATGTGAAATAGAAAATAATAGGAAGAAACTTGCATGTAGCACAAGCAAAGTGCCTGATAGGGTAAACCATGTACTTTACATCACGTACTATCATGGCACAATTTTACTCCCAAGTTCTTGAACATATGTAATTATGCAAGATTCCTTTTTTTTTTCAAATTTTGCTCCTTCTTGATTAGAATGAACAGCGGTAATAAGCATGTTAAACCCTCACCCACACATATACCAATTTAACTCAAGTTTTTAACAAATTTTCATGGATCTCAGGACCCATATTTTTTCAAGTGATGCACACCAACTTCACGAATCCTTAGAATTTTAAGATCTCTGCAAGGTCTCATCTTTGCGATTTTCTTTCAACTACTATTATTTATAAAATATGTGAAACTAACAATACATCTTTCAAAAATAAGATCATTTATGTTATTACTTTTATAAATAACACCCAACAAAAATCAAGCTAGATGATCACTTACCACTTATATATATGCATATACGTACAAATTTAGACTTAAGTTATCATGTGTACTGTAATAAGCTCTAAGCATACTTACATTCTGTTGAACTCGAAGAGCACCTCTGAGCCTCGTGTAGTCAATACGAGGTATTAATTTTACATGAACTTGATTCTGGGCCGTGTCAACATAATCCACCTGTAGTTACACCCAACATGAATTATATTTACATTCTTACACAGCACAAAGAAACAAACAAATGACAAATTTAAACAATGTGAGATACTCAATGCTCTGCTTAGTTTGTAACAATTTGAATGTATGTAAAAACTAGCCAAATATTATTACCTTAAATAACAATATGGTTATTTTCAATCAGTGACTTACATAGTATAATGAGAAGTCAGCATAATACTTTGTTAGTATATAGTGCATGCTATTTTTGCAAAAAAACTGAATGAAAATATACCAGAAATCTTTGGCACACCATGTATATCAGTGTTTCCAAACCTGGGCAGTACTGCTTCCTAGTGGGCATTTTTAAATTTCAGGGGGTGAAATAAACTTTGTGGGGTAGTAGGGGGGGGGGGCAGACAGAAAAGTTGAGGGTTTCAAAGTTATATTTGTTAAAATTAAACCATAAGAAATAGGGGTTTTCTTTCAACATGTTTGAACAAAATTCATTGTATAGTTGTATTTTTAGCAAACAATGCCCACTCTAATGCTTCTTGTCCATTTGATAATCTCTCTTTTGGCACCACTTTTAGTACTTGTATTAAAAATTTATTAGAAGGGGGCACGAGCACTTATTGTTTGCTGAAGGGGGTGCTGCTGCAAAAAAGGTTGGGAAACACTAATGTATACAACAAATTTAGTGCAAAATAACTTGTAGTGATTTCATATTACCATAAAACCATTTTAGGAAATCACAGGACAAATGCACAGCAATCACAAAATAGCCCAACTATGTATTATATATTACAGTAACAGTAAGTTTTCACAATTAAAGCAAGCAAAAATATTGTATTCTAAATTAGCTTTTAATACCGAAATTACAATTACACATTACTTCAGGTTACCAATGTTACTGCATAAAACAGTAGATTAATGATTTACTAAATTAATTTGTACTGTGTACTATTCAATGAAAGATAATTACAACTACCTTACCTGAGCAAGATCATCTTTAAAAATTCCTCGCTTTAACCTAACCCACTGCTTTGGTTTCAGATGGGCTTGTTCTTTAGTTACTCTTAGTACCTCAGTCATCTCTTTGATAGGTACCATCTGTAACCACAACCATACAAGTTAGCCAAGTCAACCCAAAAATATATATAACAAAAACTTAAACATGAAACAATGAAATTCATAATTATTATTCCTTTTAAAACATTAGCTAAGAATAGTTCTTCACAAGAGTTGTACATTCTGAATAAGTAAAACAAGCTTCATCTTTTCTGTTTGTATATATTCAGAACTTGGTAGAAACATTGGAAAATTCAACATTTTTTTTCAGATTATCTTTAAATTTAAGGAGGATGAGCTACTATAAATTGCAAACATACACCAATCATACATGAAGAAATAAACATATGGAGTACACAAGAAACATGTAAAGAAAGTCGATATAACGGGACAGTGCTTGTCCAAGGTTGACAACCAGAGTTACTACAAAAAAAATATATTTTTTAACTTTGTAATCAAACATATAATAGAAAAAACATGATCATAATATAAATTATCAGATTTTATATTTTCTTCTGAAGAATAAAAGCTGAAAAAACAGAGAAGCTGAATTGTCAAATTACACTTGGCAGCCCCTTACACCATTCTATCTTATTATTGGTTTACAAGCACAAAAAAAATATGTGTTCTTTTACTTATAACTGTATAGGATTACCTTGAACAGATATATGGTATATGGAAAGTTAAGCTTTGGAGAAGCATTCTAAACCAATTCTTAAGTTTCTTTTGTAAATTTTTTAGCATCTTACGATTGAAGTTTATTGTCATGAAAACATTGCTACAATTTCACGAAATGCTTTGTTTTATGTATTTATTTCTATAAAGCATTCTTACTGACTATAAATAGTACTTAATTCAATAAAACATTTAATATGACAATCCATACTCAATGGCAATAACAAGGTTTAATTTCATTTGTATTGAAACATGACTACTTTATTCTCTACCATTCAATAGATAAATTGTTCGTATACTTAAGGTTTAACATAGTTAACTTCTTAATTTGTCTTCATGACTTATACATATGAACAATAGTCTTGTATTAAAATATGAAACATTTTGTACAATACTCACAGTTTGCTGCCACTGACCCATTCTTAGATTTCCTATTCCTGCAATGGCTTGTTTAACATGGGTCTGTTTGTAAGCTTCAATATACAAGTATCCCTTAACTCCTTCTGGAGCAATCACACTTTTAATTTGAAGAGGCTATCAATGTACAAAAACGTTAGTTACTTTTCAACACACCAAAAAAAAATAACTATATGCTGACATTGTAAAAAAAGTTAAATCCCCAAAATTAATAAAAATACTGACAAACAGTGAATACAGCATAATTCACTGAAAACATTATCATAATGTTAAATTAAAAAATACCAAATATTATTGGACTAAAACGTAGTAATAATACAACTGATTTATAAATTAGACCTCTTGCCAAAGTGACTGGAAATAAAACAGTTTAAAGAATAAGGTATATTGAGAAAACCTCAAGTTAGTTTTTTACAAATTTAATGCCTTTTCACATCAAATAACTATGAAATTAAAGTGAGAAATTTGAGAAATAAAGCAATTCTTAGTACTTTTAACTGATCAGAGGTCATTCTTTTTCAAACAATTACTTGTTATACACCCACAAAATATTAACAAAATGATAACATCAACCACCTTACCTCTTCAGTGTGCTGATAAGCAATAAATTTTCTCATCAGAGTTAATACTGTTGCCTTTTCTTCTCCAATTCTACATTTTACCATCCACAGGTTTGGGTCTCTAAATACAAATACATCAATTATTTTTAGCAACACAATGTCTTAGTTCTTTCTATAATTAGTATTTAGTAAATAATTCTTATTTCTCAAAAATCAGTAGCTGAAAACACTGTACATTTAAAGTAGTGCATTAAATATAGGAATTCAAGAACTATATCTACAAGAGTAGCAGATGAAAAGTTGATAAAACAGTATCAAAGTCATTGCAACAGCTGTACTTAGTTAATGATATAAACAAATATTGTCAACAATCTATCTAAACTTCATGAATGCCTGCAGCACATGATTAACAAGGAAACCACACTTACTTAACACCAGGTAAAAGAGTCTGTTGGGTGATTTCATCAGAAAGTTCAGTGTCTCCCTCTCTGTACCCACGTTCGGCTGCTGAAGTTTCAGCATATTTCCTACGATAGTAGTCTTCAATTTCATCTTCCTTTTGAGACCTAAAAGATTTAAAAACAAAAGTTAATAATTTAGTACAAACATATTCATGTCTATTACAGTTAATAATATTCAAAGGGAAGTTTACTAAGTAACCAAAATCCTGACCTAAAGTTCAAGTTTCTTTTAATGATCATTGTTTTATTTTTTGGTCTAATGATAAATATATTCTACTCTATTTAAAATAACCTTCCATTCAAAATACATATATACTCTGTTTACAAAGTGATTACCAATCATATGTTAATTCTATTGCATTTCTAAGAACTGAAGTGTGAAAGAAAAGAATGTATAACAGCATGTAAACACATTATATCTGCTATATGCTGTTCCAACATGGCCTTTCACCCAACACCAAGGTTCATAAGGTTGGCTGAGACATGGGATAGACACTGATTATTCAACATTACATATTACTAAAAAACTGTTCACTTATTTAACTTCCTAATATGATTGCTCAAGTAACCACAAACCTTTATTTAGCATCAATTTAATTACATGTAAGGAATAAATATCTAGCAAATGTTATGCATGTAAGGTTCGTATTCTTTCAATTACAACAAAATGCTACATAAAGCAGTGGTTCTCAACTATGGTCAGTGGGATTCCTTCAGATAGCTCGTGAGAAGGTAATTTTGGAAAGCAATCAGCAGCACTGCATGTCAATCCCAATGTGGTCTTCCGAGATAAAAATTCAGGTGGTTCATGAACAAAAAAATTTAAGAACTAATGACACAGAGTTCTAAACTGAATATTCAGTGTTTCCTTAAATATTCTGGAAGTTTATTATATAGATTAGTACTGATGAAAACAATACACAAAACAAGTAATATTTATGAATGAATTCAGGTTAAATCTCAGAAAAATAAATACTAAACACAAAAATATTACTCTGTTTGTTATAGTAAACTAAGCTACTAACGTCCACATCATTTGAAGACGCCGATGACTCTCTAGATCACGGGAAGTATCTTCTTCATTAGGTCTCGTACGATCAATCATGTCTTCAGCACCTTCTTCCCATTCTTCATCTTCCTCTACTTCATCATCAACTTCAGCTTCATCCAAGATGAATCCACCAAGTCGAGATTTCATTTTTTTTCTTTTTCTTCCTGAAACTTCCTCTTCCTCTTCTTCATCTTCATAATCATCCTATTTAATAAAGTTGTACTGATTAGATTCAATATACAGGGTAACCCAAAAAACCTAGTACACATATTATAAAATACTTTTTCCTGTGAGTTTTCCTGATAAATTGAATGACAAGAGGGTTCTTAATAAAGAAAGGAAGAGGTAATGAATCATTTGGAAGCAAAGTTGAACATATAACAGAAGTGATGCAGATGGTGTAAAAATGTATCTGAAGTTTGGCATCAATAAAAGCTCATTGGAAGGAGACTCCACCATCACAAGAAACAATCAAAGCAAATGTAAGTTGTCCATGTACTGTTAACACCAAACAAACAAGAGAACCTCTTGCAATTGCTCTGGTTCAAGATCCACAAAACTTGATTCGAAATTTGTCTCCTGAGGATTTAAAGGAATATCTTAAAAAATGGCTGTTTCTGCTTGCAGATCAGTTATAACTTGGTATGGAATATGTATAAATGCTGAAGTTGGAAATTTTGAGCACATAATGGCATAAAACAATAGACAGCTTACTAGGTATACTTGGGACAACCAGTATATAAAGCTTCTTAACTTACACACAACACATTATACATGTACAGTATTTTTTGTGTGTATTAATAAAGTGTTCATGAATGAGAATAGAAAGACCCAAAAACTCAGAAACCTTATATTCATAAAGAATGAAGGGAAAATGGAGAACTGTGTGGTACCAATTTAATCTTGGATGTCTCTCTTTTCCAAAATATAATTCTAATACATTTTATGTATCTTCAGAAAATTTTGCAAACTTTCAGTAATCATTAAGAGTCATTTGTAGACAAAAAATCTGAAATTTTAATGACATATTTTCACTAAAACTTTTTCTCCATCTATATATGGAGTCAAAGTGTTGACTCCTCTGAATGCAAAGTGATTTTAATGTTAAAATTAAAAATAATTTTCTTCATCTTCAAATTTCATTTGTATAATCACTAAAATCTCCTAAATAAATTTCAAACTTATTTTTGAGTAAAACTATATTTTACCTGTTATTTTCTCTACCCTAACTCTATACAAGGTTGGTCAATTTTACCAACTTCGTAACAACTAAAATAAAAAGTTGTTCCTAGAGAAGAGAAGGGAACCATGGTTATGCCAGCCAAAAAAAAAGAGGCCACACAAAGGACTTGACATGGAGTGGATTGGATGAGAGAAATTAAACAGGGAAGAAGGCAGATGGGAGGATATGCATATAAGAAAAGGTCCTTCCACTCCTGGCTGAAAGTATCCACCGCCAAGAACATAAGGACCGGGATGGAGTGCCCCCTCGTCTGGTGATGTAAGAGACAATGGTTGAGTTGTCAGAATGCCTCATCACTGTCATGCCTCTGACAAAGAGCAAGGAGTTTCAAAGAGTTGATGTGAAGAACTAACTCCCCAATGAGAACAAAGGTCTGAGATCTCCTGGGTATTGCAGTAGGCCCCCCATACTGATGAGACATCTGTGAAAACATGGATATCCACACAGGAAGAAGAAGTAGGTACCTCCGCTGTATTGTTGTCCTTGTCTAACCACCATAGGAAGTTAGATTGAAGGGAAGCAGGAAAGGAAATCTGGAAATCCAGAGGGTCTCTGATGAGGTTTGATTGATCTTGTAGTACTGACTGCAAGCACGTATGTAGGCATGACCCAAAGGTATAAGAGCCTCCAGTGATGCCCAAGTCACCTAAAGAGACAGAACCTCTCGAGCAGGGAGAGAAGGTGTTAATTGTGCCCTTCAAACCAAAAACTCCCTGGGTTGCAGACTAAGAGAAGAAAAATGCTGGGCTTGACTGAGGTGTAAGTTGAAAACACCCTCCAGATGAACAAGATATTTTGTTGGGGTGACAATGGACTTTCACCTTGATAATCCAACCCACCAGAACAGCCTCCCTGAGGAGAAGTTGGGTGTGGGTGGAAGACTGTGAAAGATGGCAAATGACCAGACCACCAGACAGAAATGCAAGTTGCCAACACCAGCCCAACAAAATGAGTTCGAAATTGATAAATGTGATCCTTATGGACAAAATGTTGATAGCAACGTGAAGCCTGAGTATTAGGGATGTGGAGATAAGTGTCGAACACATCAAATTTCATCATCCAAGGCCTGGATGAAAAGCCCATCTGAGAGACAGATAGAAACTCATGATGAATTGAGGCACATCAAAAAAGCAATTCAGATGGGAGAGATCAACAACAGGGTACCAATCCTGGGTCTACTTGGAGAAGACAAAAAGTTGGAGATAAAATCTAGGAAACAGGAGAAACCTGTTCCATGGCACCCTTGATGAGAAGTTGCTGGACTGCTTCTGAGAGATGCTGGCAGGAGACAGTATCTTGAGAGGGGAAGGAACCAGTATAGAGGATAAAGGAGGAGGTGAGAGGAAAAGAAGGGAGAATCCTTCTGACAAAACTCAAAGAACCCAAATATCAGTGGTAAGGTTCTCCCACACCCCTGAGAAAAGAGGTAGTCTGGCCCCACCAGATCTGAAACCACAGGGTAGTCATCGTTATCACTGATGCTTAGCAGGTCTTTGGTGAACAATGGTACAACATATAGATATAATTTGAGAAGTAAATGGTAAAGGAGAAGGAGGATGAGAAATGAGAATTAGAGGAGGAGGAGACTAGAACAAATGAAAAGCAAAAGATAGAGAAGTGTATAATCTGGCAGATTCACAGAGACTCCAAAATATCTGCCAGCCCACCAAACAGTGCAGATTGAAGAAAGCGGGCTGCCTGGAGATCCCTCAAAGAAGTGGGGTGAAGATGCACATGTGATAATAATGCATCCTAACACATGGGATCCCAGCAGCACAGGAGCCAAGTGTGAAGGGACAGGTTAGATGAAGACAATCTGAACAATTTCATGAATAGGATGGTATGGTGTTCCACCAAAACACCCTAAGGACAACAAGTGAATAGACGACAAATGTTGATGGAATGTGATATGGGAAAAACATAGTCAGGCAAATTGTGCCTGTGAAAAACGCACTGAAGTATTGGGGTCCAAACCCCAAAGGGGAAGAAAAGAATCCAAATGTTGACTATCCAAAAATGGATTTCCAGCACGATTAGCAAGTGCATGAGTTTCTGTAAAAGGTAAGGAGCACAGCATGCTAACCCCCACATGTAAATGCTCTGCAAACTTGACTGCATGGACCCCAATATCAGGCGAACGGGGAAGAACAAAAACACTCAGAACTAGGTGCTTTGGCTAATAACCCTTTTGTAATCACCTAATATCACTATCATTATATTTCATTCCAAAAATAAAAATAGGGGATGAAACTGTTTGAAATTTGACAAGAACTTTCCTAAAAGCATGTTGTTTTAGAAAAATAAAATATTTAATTTTTATTTTTTTCTACTATTTCTAATAAAAATTCATTATTTAATGTAGTCATTTGCACAGAAAAATAAAATATTCAATTTAGATTTTTTCTACAACTTCTAATAAAAGTTCAATATTTAGTGTAGTTACTTGCACTCAGACTCTAAATAGTTCAACTGCAAGGTGACTTTTATATGAAGTATAAAAATACTATTTTTATCTTACACTTTTCACATTTTATTTGCATAATCTCTAGAACCTCATAAATGAATATCAAAAGTTATTAAGGTAAATGTTTATCTTTTTTATTTTCCATTTTCTCTACTATATCACTACTAAATGTAGCTATTATCATCAACATACAGTATAATGAAATGTTTAAAATTAACAAATGGAAACACATCCATACCTTTCAACTTTTCACAGCAGTTCACTACAAGTCTTCTTTGTCTAATATGCATAATTTCATGTTTTTGTCTTTTCACTTATAGTTTATTTTTAATTTTCCTTTTCATTCTTCTTATTTTATTATTTTTGCCAAAATGTCTCATAATGGCCCGCTGGCCTTTTTACAGCTGTTTTCATGAGAGACTTGTTAGCCCATGAGCACATCATACGTTTAGATTTGAAGAGATATAAGACAAATGAGTAAACTTATAAAAAATCATTAAACCTTTCAAGTATGAATTTTAAAACCCAAATAATACATAATTAACTAAAATATAAAAGTAAAACCTAAATGCAATTTAACTGTCTATAAAACTTAATATGTATAAGGCATGAAATAACAGTCAAGTGCTGGGAGACACTGATATCCACAACAGACACCAACAGAAATTTGTGTCATTTGAAAAATAATCTATTACTTATGTCTTCTTTAGCCTGGAGAGACTAACCATGAATTCTGCTCTTTCTATTGGTTATAAGAATCTCATTCAAGGACAAAAAAATTTGTTGCTTAACAACAGATTACTTTTGAATGTGAGCCTGACATCTAGCAGTCTGGAGAGTAAGGATAAAAAACATTTCTTAAGAATTATAGTAGTTGAAAAATGAAACTAATGTACAGAATCTGACCTTGTACACATAGAAATATGTCTAGACTATTATAGAGGGACTGAGAATGAGCTATAAAGATACATAAGCAATCAAACCTAAGGTCCTTCAATGTTATGCACATCACTAGACATCAAGTCCAAAAAGATAGTGATGGAGACCTAGATGCTTCCACAGGTTGAGAATGTGCCTGCAAAGGAAGGGAGAGGGAAAAGGCTGTCAAAAACCATGTTATCCTGATCTAAATCTTCAGGCAATGGCATAATCTACTGTTTATAGGGAAAACTCTCGACCCATATGAATGAAGCAATCTCCCACTGAACTACTGCCGATATCTTCTCCACCAATAACGCTGCCCCTGCAGCCATCATCACAGGTTGGTAATCATCAGTAGCCCTTGTCGTAATGACAGTGAATTGTGAATTCATAAAATATCGACGGATTACCAAAATTGAGTTAGTAAGAGAATTCACTATCAAAATTAAATCCAACTCGGATGTAGATTTGAAAAACAATACTATGAAAAGTAAAATTCAAAGTCACTGCAGACAGTCAAAAACATACTAAAGGGAAAATCCAGCAATAGGTGTTAACACAGTCATGTCAAATCAAGAAGTGAAAATTGGGTTCAAACTGCATAGGAGTCAGCTGCAATAGGAGTATATGTCACTCCTATTGGTGTAGGGTTGTTGCATGTTAATTTGCATGCTTAAATACAGCTGAACCACGTGGTGTACACACAGAATTAGGTGGGAATTCAAGGCTATTGGCAATCAAAATTTGAACACTAGAGGTCAGTCAAATCAAGAATGGCTGTAACCGTGAGAGGAGGTAAGTAATCATTTCGGAAGATATGATTAAATCGATAAATGTCATGAAAATATTCAACCACTCAAAACCAGTGTTTGTGTTGTTGTTGTTTGTTATTAAGCAGTTTCTAGCCATATAAGTCCACAAACATACCACTGTACCACTGGGGGGGCTAGTATTTGTGGTTATTACTGTTTTAAATTCTTCCAACTACCCTGTAATCAATATGTTGCCATTATGATTTTTTGTTATTACTTTCAATTAATTTAAGTTTCTTCAGCTTAGTTTATTACTCTCACAATTCCCAAAAATAATCAACCAAATCAAAATTGTGGTTTCCAATTATTATTTTCTATTATACAAACTATAGAAGCATTTGAAATACTGGCATTAAACTACACAATGGACTGTTATTGCTCTGCCCACAATAAGTAAACAAACCTGATCCTTAACATTATATAATTTTTTCTTTCGCCATTTCATGTAAGAATAATTGATCAGTGGAATGTAACTGATCAATGATCCCAACAATCAATTAGCAAATTCAACAACTTGCCCAGCTCTAATATCAAACAATCATTATTTAGATAAAAAAAAACAAGAATTATCACAACAGACCTCCTCCTCCTCTTCTTCTTCATCCTCCTCATCCAAATTTTCACCCTCTGGCTCTTCATCACCATCATTCTCTGCTTCAGCCTCTGCTTCTGCTTCTCCTACCTCTTCAGCTTCATCATCCTTATCACCCTGACTTCCAGCATCACTCCCTGCATCACTCCCAACTTCACTACCTGCATCACTTTTGGCATCATCCTGTTCAGCCTGATTTTTTTGGTAAAAAGTAAGTTTTTTATAGTAAAAATTAAGTAGATTTGTACATATCAAATTAGAATATCTTTAAAATAGAAACAAAATTTAAGGAAAGAAATGGTCACATTTTAGATAATGAAAGGACTCAAGTATTTTGGATCAATAACATAGCAATGGGATTTTGTAACTAAGAATGGGAAAAATATATGGTGAATCCAAAATAATACTAGAAAATTCGTTATAAGCAATATAAAAAATGTTTTAATTAAAACAAAGGTTAAAACAGAATATTCCACTAGAAAAAGCTGAAAAGTTAAAAATGTAGGACTTGCAATGCAATAAATAACATATTACCATGGTAAAGACCTAACACATTTAACTCTTTCATTTTCACATTTATAAAAGAAAAACAATTCCCTCAGTAAAGACAAAAAGACACATTTTAATATTTCATTACTTATCTGAAACTGACAAACTTAAGAATAGTTGATGAAAACATCCTTTCTTACAAAGTTCCAAACTCACATATGGTTAATATCACACTTTTCAAGGCTAAAACAAATGTTATACAGAGGATTAGTACATTATATTAAAGTTTGAGTCTCACGTGATGATTTTTCATGCAACTGAACAGTTTAAATCATTTTCACAGGCTACTGAACGAAACTAGGGAAATGACTCCAAAAACAATTCTATTTTAAGTCATCTTCAAGTTGCACAATACAGAGCTCTGTTGTATCCTGAATTACTTCTCCAATGAGTTGTTTCTGTTTCAACCAATGAACAGATGCCATTCCTTTGAAATGTAGGCTTGTACTGAAATTTTACCTAAATTTCAAAATGGTGAGATGAGCAAAGTAAAGCATTCACAGAACAAAACTGATGTAGCTGCATTTATTGAAAGTTATTAGCAGGAGTGCCTATGGAAGACTGTTGATCCAGCTTACAAAGCAATATGAGGAAGACTGATCAAGAAGAATTGGCTACTGAGTTCAACACAGCAGGCAAGTTATTTGTACATGAGGCTAACCAGGCCAAGGCATACTGTCAAAGCTAGTGCTCAGTCAATCATAGTTTCTAGTTTTAGTCTGAAAACGAAATATATATAAGGACAACCTAGAGTTTCCAAGCCAAAAGTTTATCTGTATTTCATGTCTTCAAACTGACCTTGTCCTTGGCAAGATAATGTGAAAAGATTGAATAAGTGAGACCACAAAATAACATTGAAAAAAATCATTTATGAAGGGCAAAGTCACAATGAAAAGTTGTATGCCACAAAAAATTAAAACATGAGACCTGGGCTTAAAACAACTTTGGAGCATCATCACATCATTACAGTCCATGTCGCCGTGTCCAGTCATGCTTGATCTGACGACCATGCATCTTGACAATAACCTTGCAGCATAGTTCCCACTGCAAAAGGCTCTGTTATAAGGCTCATATATCCAAAGCACACCAATCCTCCTTACTGGTTTTCCATAATTCATCTAGTGTATGAGGATGATAGTTTGCAAGTGCTCAATTCAGCAGTATGATTGCACAGAAATCCATACTGTAACAGCTGAATGGGAGGTATGTCTGAAAGTCTTATCTGTTGGCCTTATTTTCAAAAGTAGATTCTTTTTAATTATATTTCATACCATTGTGAGAGATATTTTGATAGCTTTTACTACTGATCTTAGAGTCTGTGGTTCCTCATCTGTTACAAGATGCCACATTTTGATTACCATGGCTGAGGTATGATTCATTGCAGGTTTCTTTCTACAATGTCAAAATGTAGTTCAAACACACACTGTTTCACCAAGATTTTTGTATCAGCTGTGGCTGTTACAAGACTTGCTGATTTGCATATTAGAAATCATTTTGTTATAGTGCATTTCATATGTGTGTCCATGGCAGTTGTCAAAGAGAGGGGAAAAACATGTGCCTAAGGCAATGAAACTAAATACTAGAAGTAATAACCCAATTAATCAATTACATATGAGCATTGCTTACATCTACTAGTGTAGCGTAAATATACACAATGGACCACCTCAGAGATTAGCTAAATAGTTGAATCAATTAATAAGCCCAACAGGTAAAGGATTAGCAAATTCCACTAATTAAGCTCTACTGATCATACAGATAACTGTACTTCTATTTTGATCTCACATTCTTATTAATTCAAATATTATTATGGAGCCTACAGTGGTATGTCATCACTGTAGTCCTTAGATGTAGAATATCTCTAAAAGAATATATCAAATTTTTACCAGCATAAAAATTTCAATTCACTGTTAAAAGGTGTGCAGTTAATTTTTTCAAATACCTGAGTAAATCATAATCAATACAGTTCATGAGGTTCTCATGGTCTTGTAACTTTTAATACCAAGAAATTCAATTCTAAAAACTATTTTAATTTAACCCTATGTCAATAGTATTAGTTCACTGAACTGACCCAGTGTCTGTGAAGTTATACATAGTAATGTTTACTATAATTCTGAATTTACTAAATGTATCTTCATGAAATATGGCAAGCCTTTAAACCTTTCACGATGGGCTCAGTATAATATACATGAGTACGTATACACATTTGCACACGTTAAGTATTTATACTCTAACTTTTAATGCAGTAAGTGTATCTTCACAAACATTGGTAGACTTTTAGTAAAGATTACAAGTCTTTTGTAGACAAAAAAAACAGATTTTTTAATGAAGTATTTTTATTATAGATTTGTTTGTGAAAATAATGAGTCTGTTTCGTTACCAGTCCAAGTGCGAAGTGATTTTTATGTTATAACTAAAAAACTATTCTTCATCCCAAACATCTCAAATATTATTTGTGTAATCTCTAAAACCTTCTAAATACATTTCAAATGCTTGTTTTGAGTAAAACAATACTTTTTCTGTTATTTTCTCTACCCTAACTCTATGGGGTCTGTCAATTTGATTGGCCTCATAACAATCACAAAAAAAAAATGAGGAAATAAAGTTAAATCATGCTTTTTCCTTCTAGAATGACTACAGATTATAACACGAAAACACAAATGTTTAGTCTAAATATTTTAAATCTCATACCATTATACATTTATATATATTTATTATATTGACCTTTCAAACGTGCCTGGCTAACAATATAGAAGTTGTAATGATATCATATCCACTAATATAAAACTGATCTTTTGCCTTTACAAAGTGACCTGTCTTGGCTGAGTTTTAGTGAACTAGTATTTTGCAAAATACAGTCACATTTCAATTATTATACATTATATATGTATATACATTAATACTATTTACAAATAAGTTTTTAAACATATGTTTCTTAAACATAGAACAGTAAATAAAGAAGTAAAGCAAACAATTATCTTTTCTAGTTACAACCTTTGTACGCATTTGCTACTTGCCATAGGTTGCTAAGCCTTATGAAATTTCCCACATGAAGGATGCGAAAAAAAATTTTTTTAGGTTTTTTATATATATATACATTTTAAATAACCAAAAAAAATCATAAATTACTATATTTTTACCATAGAATTCCACTATAATTTATCAAGCATATTAACTAAGTTGTATTTGGGTCTAAATAAATATGAAATTTTGAGCTCACTAAAGACTTACTTTATCCTATTGAAATCTTGTGTGAAAAGAATGAGATTAACAAAATAACACATCAAAATGGCTAAGAAAAACACTAGGGGGACATTCTGAGCTTGCAATTGGTTATTCACATGTCATATGTAGAAGTAAGTGTATATAAGGGAGCATTATCAAAAATGGAAAGAGATGGGTGGGGGCTACTGTGTTTGATTCGGTATATGAGAGATATCTCAACAAATAGAAAAGATTGATGGTTCTTATTTTATATTCTAGCTTGTCAATATCTGTAATTTAAGTTCCTAATTCATATGAAACTATAGGCTTTGTATCTTGACATCAAACATTTAATTTGAACCAGTGCTGCATTCAACATAGCCAAATGACACAAAAATTATTGTTTAGCTGTGTTTTTAGTATTTATTTTTAAATTAAAAAATTAACTAACATATAGAACTAAAATTTGAATTATAATCTACAATTTGATATCAAACTTACTGACATAAATTCATAAAATATTAGTTCAATAAAATTTTGAATGCAAGTCAACAAACACAATGACATGGCCTTTGACAAATAACCCATCAAGATAAGGTTATTATACATTTTAAGTCTGTTGTACACAAAAAATCAGAATTTTTAATAAAGCATGTGTACTAAAGATTTGCCCATGAATTTCCAAAGCCTCTCAAATCTGAGTGGAAAGTGAATGTCATGTTAATAACAAAAATTATTTTTTTAATATAAAAGCTTTTGCATTTCATTTCCATAACTGCTAGAACTTCTAAAATAAATATAAAAAATTTTTTTCTTCATAAAACTATATTTTATTTGTTATTTTCTCTACACTAAAACTAACTCTAGCAAAATCATCAATGCATAGTGAAATGAGAAGTTGAAAAATATGAAATAAAATAAAGAATAGCTTGATCTTCTTTGCATGGATCACTTCACTAGATTAATGGTCTTTTTATCTCCTAAGTTTCAACTGTTAACTTTTCCACATCTGTTTTCTTTAACTTTATGGTTTTATTGGTCAAACAGCAATAAATCATAGCAGTAGTTTATTGGCACATACCATAAATATTATGGACAAAATCTGTGATCTTTGTGACTGCAAACAGTAACTGTGCAAGGCCTCACTTTCTTTCAAAAACTCAGTTCTTCAAATAAAAATTCATATAGCTTTCAAATATTCCTTTTAGAAGAAAAATATATCACACACTACAATACAATGTCCTAAAACTATTACACTTTACCTGGCTTTTTAACTAAGCTATAATTAGGTTAAAAAATTCCATTACTTCTCAGATCACTGACTTTAGTCTTCACACGTTAAATTTTCTTTTCACACTAATGGCTTTGACCATTAAAAATAAGAATAATGTCATGAGATACATATTTTTCAGAATATGGTCTTTCTATTGGTTATAAACATGTCCAAATGATAAGTATGCATAAGGAAAAAAGTGGTTTCAAAATCATGAAGAGATGGGAGACGGCTTCTATGGAAGGTGTGATAAAGTTACTGATACCTCACAAAATCAAATTGGTGGGAGGTTCTAATTTTTTATTCTTGCCTGTCAATATTTATAGCTTGTGTTTCTAATTGATTAGACCCTCTGAAACTCATAAAAGGGAATAGAGAAAAGCTAAAAGGGGATATTAAAAGAGTATATGTCACATGACACTGAGAGGTAAACACTGACAATTTTATTTAAATATTTAATTTCAAAATTAAGAAATTAAAACTTAAGACAACATTTTAATGCTAGGTATATTAACATACATTGATAATAAAGTTGTTTAATTAAATTTTGAATATAATTCTGTAAAAGGTCATTATATGCACACTCTGACTAAGCTGAGATCACAAAGATAAAATTCCTTATTCACTCTATGAATGTACTTCATGGCCTTCCAGAAAATCAGTTCATAAAAAATTTTGTCCGATGCTTCTTAATGAGCTTCTTGCAAAATGGCTTTCTGAAATGATTTCAAGTAAGGGAACTTTACATGAAGATAATCTAGTCAGTGATTCTAGCTAAATACAATGCAGAAAATTTCTATGACCATCATTCCATGACCGAGTTCAATTGTCATAAAACATAATAACATAAAGTTCCTGTTAAAAATTTTCTGCAAGGATCATTATTAGTTTAGATCAATATTTTCTTCACATTCCCAAAGTCTGTAACTCTGTATTAATGAACCATGATTTTCAAACCATAACATAACAGAAACTGCATGTATAATTTAACCACTGGTGAAAATACATACCTCAGCTTCACTTTCCTGGAAACTTCGTTCACTTTCATTGTCTGAGAAATTACTTCCTTCACTGTCAGACATAACTAGTTATCTAAAAATCAAAATTTTGTAATTTAACATGTGTATTCTGCTTTACAATCAGAAAAAAAACATGAAGTATTCCATATACATGTAAATTAAAATTATATAATTATGAAGTGTATAATACATTTGCAAAAATTTCAGCACTCTTTATATATAAAAGATGAGTTCACGAAATGGTTATAATTTAATAAGATAGTGTTTCATGACTTATAACCTTCTCATTAATATAGCTCCTTGTTATTCTTCTATTTTAATGAAAAGTTTTATACTTCAAAAAATGTTTTGTTTTGGACAGGAGAAAATTAGATAAGCAATATTGTTGAATTCTTAAAGTTTTTAATTATCTATCACTTGTGATCAAGGCTAAGCAGGTTTTACCATCTGTATATTTTGAGTATGCAGATTACTGTCAGCTTGAGTAAACTAGAATGGACTGCAACTGCCTTTTGTAAGAACACAAGTGTAAAAGACAATATCTGAAAGTCTTCAGATGAATAAAGATGGAAGACTTGTCATCCTCTATACTTGTGTTTTTACAACAGGCTGTTGCTGCCCATTCCAGTTTATTCATCATGAATATTGTCAGTTTGTTCAATACTGGTTGGGTTTCATGTGGGATAGTTTTACTTTTGATCTCATTATTATGGGAAGGCTATCAAACTACACATCAACTGAAAATGTTAGCAATAAAAGGACAGTAAAAAAACCTGCAATTATTTTTGCTGAAACATATAGAAGCAAAAGGTTATAGATTTTTAAAATTGTTAAGAGCCTAAATAACAAATATTAAAACCCTAAATTCTAAACTGATAAGGTTGTCAAATATTTTAAGAAAAACTTCTCAGCTCTTAAAATATAATTTTCCTTAACTAATGATGGAGTGTGTGCCAAATGTTTGGATTTTTCTTTTATTATACATTTTACTAAATACATAAATGGATGTGAAAGGTAACTTTTAGTAAATCTGATGTTATCTTTGAACATATCAGGTGACCTTTAACAGATAAATAATTGTCTGAAATCTTGTTTGTTCTGATGATCTTTTTGATGTAATCTGGCTTAACTATATTATGTTACTTATATAAAACAGACTGGATTGACTAAAATTTATAAGTATTACTAGCATTGCAGGAATGACAAGTGCTGGCCTTGTAATTATTTTCACAGAATAACATTGACAATAAAACAGATGTTTGGTAAAGCCATCTTTCACATACTTTGCACAGTATATTAATTTATCAGAAATTACTTGGGTTGACACAACTAGAGTAACTAATAATATTAAACAGACATTCAGTGGCAATGAATAAAAAAATAAGCCATCATGGCTGAGCATTTAATCGTAACAATGTACTGTTACTTAGTTTAATAATTCAAGGAGAATAATGTGAATGAATGGAATAATAAATCATACCCAATTGGAAATTAGATATAACTGAAACATAAAGGTAATGAATAACTAATTGAAGAAAGACTATTTTATTTTACATGTACAAGGAATGGAATAAAGGAAAATACATGGAAGCAAACTGCAAACCCTTCGATTCTACCATTCAGTAATGCAGTCAACCCTTACCCTTCAGTAACTCTACTATCCTCGAAAATATGGATTATATGAAATTATTTATAACAATTTTGGCCAAATTTGTTCTACAGTGAAAGTTCTGTAAAATATCATCCAAGTTAAGTATGAAAATATGTTATAATTTTAAATATTACAACAAAATGCATTGTAGTAACATAGTTATGCAACACACATTGATTAAAAACTGAGGGGAAGATTGGACACATTGTTTTCAAGGTATTTTTAGCAGTTTAGTCACAGAGGTTTGGCTTTAATGGACCGCTCCAATAACACAGGATCTTACCCAACCAAAAATGAGCTACCATTCAAACCCTGAGAAAATACCCCTCAATATATATATTTTATTAGAAGACAAAGGAAAATGCATAGTAATAAAAAGCAAGACATAATATGAAAAAACTACAAACCGTAATCCATACAGGACCTTACAAGAAACTACAAAATGACCATACAAACAAAACAGTGCAGAACAGGAAATGAACAAAATTAATGAGGGATTGAAACCCAAAAACTACCACACATTTGTTAAATATATCTTCAGAACTATAAAGAGTACCCAAAATACACATGACCAGTGTTCCACTCAGACCAATAGTAACTACCATAGTTTCACCTTCCAACTTCACAGCATGATTCATAACTAAAATGCTCAACTCACTGACAGTTTCATCTTGAAACAGAATAAAAATGCAGAATTCTTCATAGAATTAACTGGGATTTTCACAATTCATCTATCCAAACTTCTTTTAGTTCTGATGTTATTAAAATTTCCCAAGAATTTCTGTAAACCTAGTACTTCCCACGTCCAAGCATCAACACAAATAACATAATTAAGCTTCTCATCTATTACATCAGGTCCACCTACTTTCAGTTCCAAAGTCTTCTTTTAACAAACAAACAAGCAATCTACCAATGGAACTGCTACTCTTACCAGCCGTCAGTGACATTTATACAAAGGTTTCTGAAACTAGAACTAATATTCAAGGTATGGAAGCATTATTTAGAAAACACCTTCAATATTTGGTCACATTGACAAACAACTCAACACTTTCTCTATCACCTAAATTCTCTCAACTTTAATATACAACATACCATGCAAACAGAATAAAACATAGCTCTGCCATTTCTAGAACTCCTCACTTAGAGATGAAATGATCACCTCACCACTATAGTACATAAAAACTCCACACACCCATACAAATCCAACCATTCACAGGTTGTTAAGTGAGGAATCATTATATGTTTGACAAAGCAAGAGAAACTTGCACTGGGGATCAAACTGATTAACTTAACTTCATAAAAATTTTAAAATCTATGATTACCCTTCCAGTTTTATTTCAGCCTCCAAGAAATATAAATATGCCAACTCACATGGAGCACATGGTCATGTTAACCAACAAAAGACACTACACAATTAACAACTTTGACTTCAACCTGAAGAAGGCCTCAGTCATCAAACTAGAAACAGGCATGAGGAGATCATTACAGCTAAAACTCTACTTGGTTATGTACTTGTTAGAAATAGTGCAGTTGTAAAAAGGATCCAATGTTTGAAATAGCACTTATGTTTTGTACATGAAACATTCAGTACATTTGTTAAAGCAACACAACCACTCAACATATGTGCTTCACCAAAAATTTCTGTTCCAATGCACAGAAGGAGCTGCTACATATAACATTTTGGCACAGTATGTGTTTTTCTTTATACAACTTTTACTCAAATTATGGGCATTATACAAATCAAAAGATCAAATTTTCCAGGTGAAGGACATTTAATGTTTGAATACTACTTAATTACTGTCAAATGGTTTCTGTTATCAAGAGCAAAAAAAAAAAGGGGGGCACTGCTTGAATGCTGCTCAATAAATCTGTAATGTTTAAAACAATCTTTGAATTCCTGGTTAGCAAATGAAACTTTGAATTTCCAAACACAGCCCTAACGGTAGAGATGGAGCTTCACTTAAGCAGTTCAGGTAGCAAGATGTTTTGAGAAGTTCTAGAGAAATTCATTAAAAATAATTTATACTGAACTTCAGTTGTAATACGGGTGCTTCAGAAATTGGGAATAAACAAACTGATAAATAAAGAGTTTGGAAAAAGAAGATTTAGAGCATGTAAAGTTAAATAGTAGTTTTAAAAATAAGTTTGACATATTTAAAGGTCAACACAGTAGGATCAACAATAAGTTTAGTTACTGTATTAATCTAAAGATAGGGGTACTACAAACAAAATAGATGAGTTCAAAGTTCTAGCTGAAATGGTAGATTGATATAATGGGAATTAATAAAACTTTGTTAACTTTGGAGATTAATGATAATAAAAATTATTTTGAAATTCCAGGTTATAAGATATTTAATAGGGATAAACGTTTTAAAATATGGGGTATTATGGCTTTACATGATGAAATAATTTAAGCCTGTAAGAAATGAAGGCATAAGCAAATGGTAATCAAGAGGTTGAATCAACAAGAGTTTCATGGGTTGAAAGTTTTTAACTGGCAATTGTAACAGGCCACCTGACAGATATGTTCAGTGAGAAATTTTTTATGAGATCATCATTGCTATTAATAAGAATCAATGCTGTAACAAAGGGCATATTTTGACTTTTGAAGGTTCAGAACATATTACCAAACAAAGGTTCTAAACTTCAATAGTACTAATTTGCATAATTTACTGATGACACCATCGTAACTATTATTTCAGATGTAGTTTAAAAATAAATTATATAGAACATTAATCATCTTTTTACATTTAAAAAAAAATTTATTTTGATTATGTACACATATCTGATGGTACATACAACACTCATAAAGCTACATATACTGAGCCTGTATTGCAAAAAACCCTCTTGCAGCCAATTAGAATAGCCAAAACAAATCTTTACCGAGTAGTTAATGCTTCAAGCAGGATAACAGTCACAGTCTTCTTAACAATAATAATAAACATGAAAGAGTAACACCAACAGTTCGATCAGAAAATAAAGAACTCGACTACAACAAAAAATTATGAGACAACATTATCTTACTTTAAAAAACAAACAAAAACTGTTGATTAATTAAACATATGCTTTGGGGAGGTGTAGAATTACATCAGCACTCTTTTTCAACATTAAAATGATTAGTTTTAGCATATATTTTATGTTCTATACTTATTTGACCATAACACTTCTCTTATTTCTTTTACTGTAGGCAATCGGTACATTTTATTGAAGTAATGCAGCTACTAAACACACTCTCCTGTTGTCCACCATAACAATATGCTTCAATACACAGAAGTTGTTACGAATGTTTTGGTAGTGGTGTGTGTGGTTTTGTAATACAACATCTTGTATTTAAGCAATAGACATTACATAAATCAAAAGATAAAAGAATGAGTTTTTCCACATGAGTGACAATTAATGTGTGATTATTAGTCAAACATTGT